ACTCTGTCTATGAAATAATGCTGAATCTGTCTATGAAATAATGCTTAACGTGCCCATGTGTAATCTACTCTCTCTGTCATGTTTTATTTTGATTGATGTTATTTTGTTTGACCTCTTGTTACACACTTTGTGTGTCAGAGCGTAATAAAAAATCTTGAATCTTGAATCTTGAATCTTGGTACCCCCTTGCCCACCTGCTGATATCCCTTTGATGTCATACCTGTACACAGGTATATAGGTGTGTCTTGGGCCTCCTGCTGTCAGCACTGGACACAGGTGTTTAGTGTTATTCACCTGTACCACGGAATTAGATTAGTTCATCTAAGTCCGTGCCTGTACACAAATTCCACACCTAAGTATGCTAAGGGAGTGGATAGAGATGATTTTCATTATTCAACCAAGATGTTCAATTATGACTTGTCTATGCTACATGTATAGCAGAGACATATAAAGCCATATTAAAGTATACACGATGTATATAGGGAGAAACAAAAATGTTTGAATCTCATAATTCAATTATATTTCCGAAATAACTGTAATCACGGAATTAGATTATCAAAGTCCGTGATCTAATTTAGCATCACATACATAGGTACTGTTTTGTATACAATTAAATGTGTAACTGCCGATAATTTGCTGTTTATTTGAATTGTCGACCTAACCAGGGACAGTATCCACTACACATCCCTGCCTGACCTAACGTAAGGTAGACACCATGTCGTCGATTTGTCATTAAACGGTGATACTAAAAATAGTGACATTTAAAACAGCAGATATTTTGTAAACATTTGGACCGTAGAGGTACCACAGTATATAACTTTGCAATATAAGTATTCCGGCACAGAAACTGGTCACGAAGTAGTGCTGTTCAATGCCGACATGATTAGATAAGTTCTAACTGTAGAGCAGAGACATTTAAAGTGTATACGTCTCTGTGTAGAGTAAAGAAAATGATTGCAAACTGACTTTCCAGCTTAAATTAAGAAATATCTCTGATCGACAACATTGAGACTATTTCTGTTTAATTTCCCTCAAATTCGTTCATTTGAAAAAAATGTAGCTCATCAGTGCTCAGAATCAGGACATGCAATGCTACCAGTACATGTTACTGTCTGGAATCTTTGGCAAATTAATGTTATCTTCAGCATAATCTGATTCCTCAAAACTAAAACAAATATTAATTCGCAATCTGACGCCGTTTGAACATGACTGTTTTCGATATCGCCTATCGCTTCAATGGTAACCGCAAACAAGCATTGAACTTGTGACGTCACAACCGATAGGGGCAAAATCACCGCGAGTTACGATTATGCTAATTAGTAGTAGAAGGACAGGTGAAAATCGTACAATTTACACGTCGATATCTCGGTATTGGGATGACCGATTTTTATGCGGATTTCGACATTTTTGTTTTTGGATCATATTGAATAATAATATATTCATTTCTATTTTCGTTCAGCGTACACTTTAAGTGCTGCCCACCCTTCGCAATACACATGTTTTTCTTGTCGTATATCATTAAATCATCTCTGCATAGTTGCATAACCATTATGTGAAAGTTTCAACTAATTCTGCTGGTTAAAATCAAAACAGATATTTAAGGACGACCGGAATGGCAAGTAGGAAGCTAACCATGGCACGGGATGTGATGAACACTTGAATAGTTGAGTGTATGGGAAATGGCAAAGTCTATGCTGAAGTTGTCTGGGTCAGGAAAGACCATTCATACCATCTCAGCAATGCGATATAATATACGCTCTCTCTCTCTCTCTCTCTCTCTCTCTCTCTCTCTCTCTCTCTCTCTCTCTCTCGTGTCTGAAATTATGTGTGTGCGCGTGTGTGAGCGCGTGTGTGAGCGACTGATGGTTAAATGCGTGTGTGTTCGGAGTAAGTGTTCGTGAGTGTATATTATAATACGTAGTTAATCATATGTAGTTTTGCCACCTTGAATTGTAGTTAAAACTAAATGTATAATTGTAGGGAAAGGACATCGTGTAAGTTGTTCAACTTGTGCCCAATCCCAATGCCAAATTATATATATGTTTAATTAAATCAAAGCGGATTTCACCTCTGAATTACACTAATAGATACAGTAGGGCGACATACCGCGGCAAGTTCGTTCCATTTTTTATTGATGTCGTTCTGGGCAGTATGGCATTTTTTGAAATGTATGCATATACCATTTGGAGATAAACTGCATGCCATTTAAAAAATAAGAACAAAAGAGCAAACACGACCGTATTTGAAGAATTATTTAACTTTTTCTTTCGGAAGATTGGATGGCCGAACGTGCCGCCTTGGGGCAAGTTTGGACAGGCAGTTTCGGGTACGTTCGGCCCAGGTTGTTGTCAGCATAATATGACGTCATATAAACCAAAAATGAATTGCGTTGTTTCGGAATCATGGTAATGTCTTGAAATATTATTTTTTTTAAAAAAAACCCAATAAATATGGCTTAAAACATCTCAGTTGAATATATTTGTGTCTGCTGAATCATTGTAAAGTTGTGAAAAATGCCATCTCCAAAGCAAAATTGGTGTATGACGTTTTGACTTAACTGTGGTAGGTGCGTAAGTGATACTTTCACACACAAAAATCAACCTATTATGAGCTACAGTATTTTAAGTCCGAATTGAACAAAATAATTTAACTTTTTCTATATCTTTACGTTGATACATATCACACATAGATGTGTTCTTGCGAAATGGATTACACAAACCAGAAAACAAGTATTTTGTACGAGTTACCTCCCGTGGACTTTATGTAGCCGGTTAAGTTTCCTATGAATAAATGAAAATATAACAACACATTCAACCGTTAAAAAGCAATTTCAAGCTGATAACTATGACTGCCAGACAGCTGTGAAATTATAACGACGCAGATGATATCAGATAGCTTTTTCATTGGTCAAAAAAACGGTACGTTTAACAGCGAAAACTATTCCCTTCGTTATTGGGACAACCTCAATAAATTGTTTCCTGCAGTCTCAGAAAACAGCTTATCTGCTCCCAATTGCAACACCTCACAGAAATAATTGCTTTTTTTTGACAGTAAAGGCATTCACAACTGTAATTGTATCATGATAAGGACATGATAATTCGTTACAGCTATATTTGTACCTACACTAAGGTGTTCAGAGTAATATTACATGTTTTAGGGGTTTAGATCGACTTTCGGTGAAAATGACATCCCAATGATCATGTATACCTGAGAATTCGTTACAGCTATATTTGGACCTAAACTAATGTGTTCAGAGTAATTTCACATGTGTTAGGGGTTTAGAAAAAAATGACACCCCCAATAAGTATACATACTGTGAACGTGGTTATTTACGTTGGGTGAAAATTACGCGATTTGAAGGTCAAAACTATACGCGCGGGGGTAATTACCGCGGTCGCGGTAGACCGACGTTTACTCTGCAGAGTTATCTCCGTTACTTTACAAAATGGGGTGTCATTTTTACCGAAAGTCGATCTAAACCCTTAATACATGTAAAATTACTCTGAACACCTTAGTTTAGGTCGAAATATTCCGTCTTTGCGTATTGCAGAGTTATCTTCTCTTGGGAGCAGGTATTGATTGTTACGTCATTGGTCTTTGTGAGAAAATTACGTCGTTTCCTCAAAAATTGATGACGTTATTCTCACAAACAAGTGACGTAACAATCAATCCCTGCCCCCAAGAGAAGATAACTCTGCAATACGCAAAGACGGAATAGCTGTAACGAGTTATTAGGTCCCTCAGGTGTATTGTATCTGTCCAGGGAGACCATGAACATATCGCTTCCAAGCTGTCACGAGCTGTCTGTCTCCTAAAATAGTATCGAAAGAAACGTACTTTCTTCCTTTGAACGATCAATAAAATCTTCTTGAACCGTATTTGGTTATATGGTACATGGTTCGTAGTGACAAAACAGATTTAAGGCATCTCAGAAACCGTGTGATCGTGTTACTAAATGTCGTCATATGTTAAACGTTTCAACGAGTTCTGTTATGTAAGCCATAGGTACTTCGTTTAACTCGATCCCCCTCCCACTTCCGAAATCTGGAGGAAAGATAATTGCATAACCTTTCTTCAAAATGGGAGAGGGACACTAAATAAAACTTTTCATAGTTTACAAACGTCGTGAAATAAGTTTTAGCAGGTTAAATTACTCAAATATTGTTGTGAATAATAATGCGAGTTTTATTGTTTTATTAGCTCGATATATGCATGGCTTCATTTGCTTTTAGTCGAGATACTGAGTGTCGCCAAAGTTATCTCGCTAAGTCGACCGTTGTCATGCATGCTTGACGGTTCGGTGAAGTATATACTCGCCATCATTCTATTGTGATGTTAGGATGTACAGTAGTAATAATCAAATTGACAAGTATTGATTTATCAAGTTTANACCCACCCACACCAACCCCACCCACACCAACCCCACCCACAATTAAAATAAAAAAATCAATTGAAAGAGCGTCATTTAAGCCAAATTACTGGAATATAGCATGCATATTTTTTCATTCAGTGAATGCATTGCAACTTTTTAACAAATCTGACCATGTGTTAGTCTTGCTGTACTTTTTTTCTATACAACATAAAGAGTTGGTAGAGAGAACACTATTTAGTACATGTATTATTATTATGATCACTATATCGAAACTTTATATAGATCAGAGACGTATATATTACAATATGTGTATTATAATACGTCTCTGTATAGATTGATTTGAAAAACAAAGAGTATTTTCTATGTAATTTTGTCTAGTTTGACCATTTTTTGGTATTCTTAATTAAAACCATCCTAGATTTGTGCAGGTTCCAGATATAATAAGTTCGGACTTATTGCTAAAGCGGCGTGGGATGCATGCTTGAGAGGGACATACATGCAAGATGACTTAAGATATAAGTATTGCTGGCGTTCAAAATTAATTTGCATGAATATCTAAATTTACTTTATTATCATTACTGTCTACTTTCGTTTTTAAAATTGAAAGTGGATTTAGCGCCAAATTTACCTTGTCACGTGATTTACTTTTTCGGCCAATCGAAAGTGTGTGTTTTCCAATATGGTGGTTGCATGAACCTCACAGCTACGACGACGAAAGCAAATGTGACAGTTGGAATTTTTGTGCTCGTGGATTATTTCTGAACATTGACAATTTCTGACGGAACTGACATCTGGTGACAAGAACTAGGTAAGTAAATACGGGCGTTGCACGTGCAGTTTCTGGACAGGTGAGACACATTTGGCGACGATCCGGGCCGCTAAAAAGTGTCCGAGTGACACAATATTGTCACCACCGGGTCGGTGACAGTGTTCGTTCGGTAGAAGTTGAACCGATAATTTGCTTTCTGCCAAATGTCATTTCTTTTAGAATGACAATGCAACGTCAGGAATGTTTTATGCAATATAATGTTTTGCCTGCGTTGTTTTTACTCTGCCGTATCAGTATTGCCGTCTGCTTTGAATCCCCACAGGTTGTTTTCTATAAATAGCAGACTTGTCAGCCACTTATGGGCGGTTGACGCCGATATTTGCTGGATGAAACTTTAACAGACTGCTAGAAAAACTGACTTACGTCATGTTTTGTTTTGGTATAAATCCCAATATATTTTAAACGATACCACATACGATTTAATATTGAATGTTGCAAGCTTCATATGTAGAGACTGGACGAGTTAGACTTAGAGACAACATGATAGAACTTTTTGGAATTATGCTTCAGTAGCTATAGAGAGTTAAAGTGGATGAAATGGGTATCTGCGGTATCAAATAGTGATTCTTTGCAGACCCGGAATCATACATTGTATTAACTTTAAAGGTTAATAATACCTCAGCATGAATGATATCAAATATATGTCAAGATGGGCGATCGAAAGTACTGGCGAGATTTAGTCTTCATGCAGTGTTTTGTTTTATATATAAATTTATATAGTCCGACCACATGTATCATATGAGGAATCGACCGCTCAGGCAAGATTAGGTTGCTATGGCATGGAGAAATATATACTCAATGGTGTTTTGGAAACGGAAACAAAAAATGTTTTTTTTTTTATTTCTTTTTTTGTAATTTATATTTTATAAAATACATGCAAACACTTCTTTACAAATATAAAAACCAAAACAATACATTATTGAAGCTCACATTTTCTTCTTGGTAATTTATTTGCCATAACTTTTATTCTAAGGTGGCACGATATATATCTTTGTGCACCTGCTTTGTAAATAAGTTCTTGCCCTAATTATCCCGATCCCTGTATAAACAGGATTTTTTTCTCTTGTGTGTTTTGCATTATAAGACAATTTTGTTTTGCACTTTATAATTGAAAAAGATGAGGATATTTTTTCTGATATTTTCTATTGATTTCCAGCATGCTATTCTGTATTGTTTAACCCCAGCATCTCCAGTACCCTTTTGCACACTTGTCAAATCATAGCTTTGGATATGCTTCTACTGTAGTCTATAAAACCCTAAAATTGGTGTGTTTTTTGCCTCAAAAATGTTTTGTTGTACTATATATATATATATATATATATATTTGTTAAGGATTTTTTAAAGATTTAAGGACATCCTAAATATATTTAACTCTTGAAAGCTATAAAATATACTTCAAAACCTGGGGACTGTAACACTGACAATTTTCGGAGTCAGTTTGCACTAATATAGATATATTTACTAGTGTAGCGGAACTGGACTCACAGTCGATCGTCGGCGACCAGATAGCTTGATTGGTAGAGCATCCGTCTAGATTTCGGAGGTTCCCAGGTTTGAACCCTGGTCTGGCCATGCATTTTTCCTCTCCTGTTACATTTGGCTCCGTACGTTGGGCTTGTGTGTCTGCGGAGTCAAAGACTTTATTAAAAGAGAGAGGAATGTAGCGGAACTGAACTGGGTCGATTGTCAGCAACCCAGATAGCTCAATTGGTAGAGCATCCGTCCAGAGTTCGGAGGGTCCTGGGTTCAAACCCCGGTCTGGCCGTGCTTTTTTCCTCTCCTGTTACACTAGCTAGTATGAATCAAATGTAACATTATATTGCATCAATATCGGATTCCAATTTTGCTGATTATAATTATATGTATACAGCATACTGGCAAGTTGCCAACCCTACTATTTAGGAGGGAGACTCCCTATTTTGGACTCTTGATTTTAGGGTTTTTCAATCAGTGAATTTACTTAAATGGTTCATTTATTCTAAGATATACAGATTTCATCTGAAATAACATCTCAAACTATGTCATTTTAACCCTTTCACCCCTGTTTAACTTTAGTAGACTATATATACCAATGCATTGATCTGGATGAGTCCATTATGGTCCACAGTGGTGAAAGGGTTAAAAGGGTTAGAAGGTTAAATTTTGTCTCTAGGGGTGTACACACATACTTTGTTGATACTTAATTTTGAGCCTGTAGAATCTCCCCCCATGGACATTTCAAAAAGTTGGGAAGTATATGTGAAAGAGACACTTGTTAGGTATACTATCACTGGTGACAAATAATTATAAGTGAAATAATTAACTCTACAAATATTTGGCAGGAAATGGGATATGTTTTTTGTTTATTGCCAATTGAGAAAACCTTTCGAGAGATACTACCACTGGTGACAAGTAATTATAAGTGAGTCAACTAGATACAAATTGAGATAAACTGCAGCAGGATTTTAGCAGCAACAGATTCAATCCCTGCTGTATTTATACAGCAGGATTTTAGCAGAAACAGATACAATCCCTTCTGTATTTATACAGCAGTATTTTAGCAGCAACAGATTCAATCCCTGCTGTATTTATACAGCAGCATTTCAGCAGTTTTGGCAGGAAATGGGATGTATTTCTTTTGTTAATTGCCATTTGAGAAAACCTTTTGAGAAATTCAGAAATATAGTCTATTTTCAATTATACAGAAACAGAATACAGATACAGATACAGAAGCTTTATTTTACGTCGAATATTATAAACATACAACATAAGCTACGAAGAGCTTGTATTTCGACAAAAGATCTAAAACAACAGGTATCAAAAGCTACGCTATTGATATAATCTACTGTAGTACATGTACATATTATACATGTATACCCTATATATATACGTGTGCTATAGTTTAATGTTACTTCCTACTGTTATTTTTATGTACATGTTTATATATGTGGATGTAGAGTATTTCACGCATGGGCAACTTGCCTGAACAGCAGAATTTAAATTCTGATAACATATTCTCATCTGAAAATTAGATTTAGCTATATTGTATATATATATATATAGATGTTATTTTTATGTACATGTTTATATATGTGGATGTAGAGTATTTCACGCATGGACAACTTGCCTGAACAGCAGAATTTAAATTCGGATAACATATTCTCATCTGAAAATTAGATTTAGCTATATTATATAGATGTATCGGGTCATTGGTATGCTAAAGGAATGTGAAATATACATGTGTATATAAAGATTCTAGTATGTTAGAAATTTAGAAATTAAATCAGATATATATACGGTATACAATTTAGTGTGAATTTATGGTCTGCAGTATAATAGACTAGACTGACTATAAATATTATTTGGAATTTAGCATAGACATTTCACAGACAAAACACATTTACAGACCAATTCGCTGACTGATATGTCAATATCTTACAGAAGCTGTGATCTATTTTGTTATATTTGGGAGTTTCCCATCCCAACATCCATGTAAAAAACTTTTTAATCCTTCCACTCCTATACATGTAACGTTAGTAGACTCTACCAATACCATACATTGATATGGATATGAGTCCATCATGGTCTACAGTGGTGAAAGGGTTAAGTTGTTGTAGTTAACCCTTTCACCCTTATGTAACGTTAGTAGGCTCTACCATACATTGATAATGGATATGAGTCCATCATGGTCTACAGTGGTTAAAGGGTTAAGTTGTTGTAGTTAACCCTTTCCCCCCTATGTAACGTTAGTAGACTCTACCATACATTGATAATGGATATGAGTCCATCATAGTCTACAGTGGTGAAAGGGTTAAGTTGTTGAAGTTAAGTGTCACTGTTTTCAATTTTTCTCATTTTGTCGGACTTTTATAATAATAATAATGATAATATACAATATTTAATATAGCGCCCTATCTAGCTAACGTACACCACTCTTAAGCGCTTTACAGTACATGGATATACAATTAATAAAATTAGCATATGTACATGAATCAATACAATTTTGAGGAATTCGCAGGAGAGCCTTTATCAGGCGCTAACTACTGGTCCTATGCCACCTGGCTAATATCTCCCTATGTGTGTATGCCTGCGTGTGTTCTGGAGATGTATTGTGTTTTGTTTGTAGTGGAACCGTGCTTTCAACGGTATCATTTATAGTGCCACCTGACACTTGAATGCTCTTGGCTACAGCATGCACAGATACCGCAACATCTACACCTTACCATTTTATACTCCACAAGGGTTGTTGGAGTTGTGTGGACAGAAGAAAAACACTATCTCTGAATATTTCATGCATTAGACGACATCAGGGATCGAACTCTGGACGCCTGCGTGGAAGGCCGCAGTATTAACCATTCAACCAATCTGCCCTAGTGGCGGTCTATAGCTACATAGTAGGCTGGGCATTAATGCTCACATACAATTTTTCATTTTATTTATTTTTGTCTACAAGGTTTTCAGTACTTACAATTGGTATAACAATAAAAAGTGAGAGTCAGTTGTAAGCACTGAGTGGTCTGAAATTGACATTGATTGTGTAGATCTTCATCTACAGTATGTGTGTGTGGGTGTCACTGAGCTTAAAGTACAGTAGTTTCTGACACAATAGTTTCAAAGTGAAAGTCACCTTAACATTCTTAGGCAATTGTTTGTGGTCAGTGATGTGTGAAGTTTGATAGTATATATGTGTACAACAGATCTAGATCTGTCAATGGAATCTGTTGAGGCACCGGGTATTAGTCCCCACTGAGCACAATGCAAGCATTTAAAGGCTGGTTTTCTTTTTACACGATTTCCTGTATACCTCGTACATGTATACCCCCCTTGTACATGTATACACCCCTTCCCCCTTGTACATGAGGATGTGTGATATATACCACCAATCCTTCTAAGTTGATTCCCCACAAATTCCCAAGTTGATGTCCCCTCAAGCTTTCTGAGTGTATGACTCCAAGCCGCCTGAAGTTCTGAGTTGATGTCCAACACTTTCTGAGCTAATG